TATATATATATATATATATATATATATATATATATATATATATATATATATATATATATATATAATATTATTATTATTATTATTAGGCAATTAGGTCATTAGGCAAGCCATTATATAATGATGTTTGTTCTATAGACTATCAGGGAAAAAAATATAGCTTAAAGGGGCTAATAATTTTGACCTTAAAATGGTGTTTAAAAAATCTAAAACTGCTTTTATTCTAGCCGAAATAAATCAAATAAGTCTTTCTCCAGAAGAAAAAATATTATCAGACATACTGTGAAAAATTCCTTGCTCTGTTAAACATAATTTGGGAAATATTTAAAAAAGAAAAAAAAATCTCGAAGGGGGATAATAATTCTAACTTTATGTTGGCTTACAAAGGGTGGCACAATGTTTCGCCGGGTTAGCACTGTCACTTCACAGCAAAAAGGTTGCTGTTTTGAGTCAGTTGGCATTTTCTGTGTGGAGTTTGCTTTGTCTCCCAGTGTTGGCGTAGGTTTTCTCTGGAAGCTCCAGTTTCCCCTTGAGTCCAAAGACATACACTATAGCCATTTCAATGTGGTCATGTCACTGGACCATGAACATTTCCTGCTTGTTGCTAAACTATTTTATAACTGCACAGGAGGCAATTTAATCATATCTTAATGTTAAAATGGCTGCCATGACATTACTTATTAACATGTGGACCTTTTTGGATTATTGGAAGCTCTGGAAATGTAAAAAATGTATAAAAGGAAGTACCATTGTTATTGTTTACATCCCTCAAAATGGTCTAGAGGCGAATTGAATAAACTAAATTGGCCTTAGTGTATGTGTTTAAATAAGTGTGTATGGATGTTTCTCAGTACTGAAAGGGCAAACATATGCTGGGTAAGTTATATATGGCGAGCCCTGATGAATAAAGGGACTAAGCCGAAGGAAAACGAATGAATGAATGTTGCATAGTTACATGTTTACTGATGAATACAGTCTCTTCATGAAAACAAATGAACAATTACACATATGAGAAGAGGTATTGATCAGCATAGAAATGTATTTAGAAAGAACACGACTGCAAAACTAGCACAGCTGCAGGAAATCAATAGCTTGGGTCAAAAGTCAGTGCAGTTCAGCAGTCGTTTTACAAAAATATTGACAGCAAAATGCAGCAACTGAATAATCAGGATCGGTAATTCTGTGTTTTTAAAGGTGAAGGATTTCACAAGTCAACTCCTCATAGAAAACTGATGTCTGATGACTCATTCCAGAATTGTGTATGCATTTTCAGCGTATCCATTTCTTATCCTTGAACAGTAATGATATACAAAAAAACAATGAATCCATTATCATTCATTCATTCATTTTCCTTCTACTTAGTCCCTTTGTTTTATCAGGGGTCTCCCCAACAGAATGAACCACCAACTATTCCAGCATATGTTTTAAACAATGGATGCCCTTTCAGCTGCAAGACATCACTGGGAAACATCCACACTTATTCACACACACACACACACACACACACACTCATACACTACGACCAATTTAGTTAATCCAATTTACCCATAGCGCATGTTTTTTGACTGTGAGGGAAACCAGGAGGAAACCCACGCCAACAAGTGGAGAACATGCAAACTCCACACAGATACTTTTTTTTAACCTTCAAATAACAAACAGGCATTTTCAACTTCCATTGTTAAACATATATAACAGAGATCACCAAACTTGTTCCTGGAGGTCCGGTGTCCTGCAGATTTTAGCTCCAACCCTAATCAAACACACCTGAACAAGCTAATCAAGGTCTTACTTGGTATACTTGAAACACCCAGGCAGGTGTGTTGAGGCAAGTTGGAGCTAAACCCTGCAGGGCACCGAACCTCCAGGGACGCTAATGGTGACCCCTGATATATAACATTACATCCAAGCAGCATATAATAAACAAAACAGTACAAAATAATAATAATAACATAAATAAACCTTAAATAATACAAAAAATACATTACATTCAGGGGGGTCAGTCCAAATAAGCTGACAAACAGTTTAGAGCTGTGGTCACCAAACTTGTTCCTGGAGGGCCGGTGTCCAGTAGATTTTAGCACCAACCCTAATCAAACACACCTGAACAAGCTAATCAAGGTCTTGCTAGGTACACTTGAAACGTCCAGGCAGGTGTGTTGAGGCAAGTTGGAGCTAAATCCTGCAGGGACACCGGCCCTCCAGGACCGAGATTGGTGACCCTTGGTTTAGAGAGTTTTGAGGCACCTTTTGTTTTTACATGTTTTATAGATTTATATAAAATGTTAAAATTGTTTTTAAATGCTTTGAAACAAGGAGAAACTTTAACATTCCACACAGAAACATCTACTGACCCAGCTGTTAGCGCTAACCACTGAGCCATCATTTCGCAAATCATTATCAATGTATACAATGTGAAATGCTTAAAATGTGATGGGAAACATTCGATTCTGTTGTAATTGTTATTTTACTTATTGGTAAGCCTTTTAAACAGGGTTGACGGTAACAGAGTTGATATTTTCAACCTTTGTGTGCTTTTAGCTCAAGATGCTAACCTCAAACCTGATACCACATGACACATCTAAAACACAATTTATTGTGTTTTCATCATATTATTGTTGTTAAAAAGTGAATGAGAAATGTGCTGAAATATCACAGAGTGGAATATTAAAATATCACTTATCAACAGAGTTGACATAATTAATATACTGTTCATTCATTGGTTCATTTTGCTTCAGCACTCAAAACAGTGACGGATTTAGGCATGCATGGGCAATATGGGCGATCACCCCGGGTGGCATCTTGGTGTTGGCATCACCGGGTGGTGTTGTATAATATGCTACAAAAAACTTTGTAATATATTGCCAGAACATTTTCTGTTATTTTATTTCTCTCTATATTATTTCTTATGCATTAAATTATTTCAAACTGTTAGAATGTCGATAAAAGTTGCTTTGTTAAACAGTAGAGTTGAATTTTCAACATCAAAAGTTGACAGAGCTGAGATCAACATCCCATAATGCAATTCACAACCATAAATAAACACTTGTAAATCACAAAAAAGTAAACTGTTGATTAACAGATATATTTTACAGTGTGTTTATCATACTGTAATGTCCAGTGACACTGTCTCTTTGAATGTCAGACTGTCACTCTCAGCCTGTTATCTGCTCCAAAAGCATGGATTCATCCACATGTCAGGTCATAATCATGAGACTTTGTCATAAATGAGGGTTTTGTATTCATGGTAACCATCGCAAAGTGCTGACAATTGGCTTTCATCGAGCTTGTCATGTTGACAGAGTGCTTATTAATGGCTTTCAATGCAAACAAAGAGAACGAGGAAAACGGCACATATGTAATGGAATAATTACTTATAATTCATGTCATTTTTTTGTTTGGCTATAGGTTATGTTGAGTTCCATACGCATTATCTGTTTATGAAAAGGTCTGTGCATGTTTTGCATCCTTTAAAGTGGTCCATTGTGCCTTTTTAGATGCTACATATTTCATATAGTGTGTAATTAATGTAAAAGGTCTGCAAAGATCAATGGATTTATTTTCTCCCAATAAATAAATAAATAATCTGAAGCACCTGAACCCATCAGTATTCCACTCAC